CCAGCAGGGGAAGGGGCAGGAGCAGAGACACTGACATAGAAATGGGTCCAGGACCTTTGTTAAAATGCCGCCAGGCACAGTGGTACGAAATCAGATAAAGTCTGGGGAGGGATGGATAAGAGCTGAATGGACCTAGGAGATGTGTACTTAAGATTTCATTTTCTAATGCTAATTTTGGTTTTTATGCAACTTTAGCTTCTTCTTTTTATTGAAAACTAATTAAGTTATGAGCTCTGATATATTCCAATATATATTCCAATTCAGAGACCCTACTTGCTTGCCTCACTGTGTCCTGGTGCTGCCACAAGAGTTTTCTGTTTTCGTACATTTTTGGTTCTTTTTTTTTTTGGTCTATGGAAACCTACACTCACGCAGGTAATTATAATAATTATCTGGACGGATGCATGAATGAGCAGGGCAGGGAAACGCTTGGGCAGAAGGTCCTCTCGGGCAGAGCGTCCATCTTGCGGCCGAGCAGCCGGCCCTCGGGGGCGTGGCGGGAGTGCAGCTAGAACCAAATGTGACTTCGCAACTGACACTAATTACACGAAGGCGTCGGCGACGTCGGTGGCAGCCAAATTCCCAGCCCAACATCCTGGCATCCCGTCCTGACTCGTCCTGGCCACGTCCTTGCCCGCTCAGCCGTTCATCCGGTAGGTGGCAACCTGTGCGCCATCTAATTGCACCTCCACCCCTGCAACGATGTCGGAACTATGAGTTATGTGGGCATCCTTTAAAGTCGGACCTCCTGGCATCAAACTTGGCCAGGGCTGGAGCTGGAGCCCGGTTGTATCCTTTGAGACGCCGTACCGCACGTGCTGCAGATTACACGTTTCAATGACTTTGGCGGCAGCGGAATAAAAGGAATTACAAATGCCTTGCCTCGGCTTGCCTGCTCCCGGCCTTGCCCCCTCGCCGCACCCCCCCTGGTGGCAGTCGAACTTCAAATGCCCGACTGCTGTTTCAATTTGTTGCCCATTGTTGGTAGTTGGTCGCTTAATTAAGTTGACGCCGCAATCAAATCAAATAAAAATCAAAATCGCACGCATATGCCGCGCCGCGGGTGTGCGAGGAGAGCGGAAAATGGCGAACCACCCCAACGGCGAGGCGAGCGAGAGTGAGCAGGATGGTTGGCCTCTCAAGGACCTTTGGCATATGTTCCCGCCACGACGTGCCTGCAATCAACCGCCGCCTGTCGATGGGTCGCGGGTGGTGGGCGGTGGGCCGTGGGCGGTGGCTGGATGGCTGTGTGTGGCCTGCTAATTCGCTTTAAAGATTTTCAGGGTCGCTGGCAGGATGTCGCCGCTGGCAGGATAATGCGTCTTTGTTGACATCCCCGCAACAGCATCGTCAATGGCATCGTTAAGCAATTCATTCAATTGATTCTATGGCACTTGGTTGGGAAAGCAATGATGGTATTGTTCGCTCCAGATGCGTTTCAGATACCATTATTATGTCTCTTCACATCGCAAAGATAATAATCGTCATGAATTTCATTTTAGTTGACCCATTTCTGAAGTTCTGCCATCCTAAATCTTATCTTAATACTGATTCTAACAGATCTTAATGCTGACACAGTGAGGAAAATAGGGATTCCCTCACGTAGGACAGAGGCTAGGGGATCTATAAGTATTTTAAATTCATTGTCAATTAATTTCAAATGAGTGATTTGAAAAAGGGACTTTTAAAAGGCCTGCCCTTCTACGTCCCTTTCACTCAACGGCCCCTAATCAAAGCATTTGCCCGACATAATAGCCAAGTTTACAAATTAGAGAGTCCTGTGGGCTGCGCACTTCAAATCAAACATGGAGCTGTAAAAATATTGGACACATATGGATGGCGTGGCCCACACACAGGCACACCCGACCCTGGGCCACCTCCCCCTCTGGATCCGGGGCCAAAATGCTAATTTGAGTGCTCCACATTTTCGAGGGAGGGCTGACGGCTGGAATTTGGATTTGTAATTGGAGTTAGAGTCAGAGGACGGGCGATTGGTCGGTGGATGGAGCGAATGGGGCTCAGAAAAGGGTTTTGGGTTGCACGCCTGTAAGTAGGCTAGGATTGCCACTGATTTTAAAGGATCTGGCTTCACCCGAATCCATGCAAATTGCACTCGAGGCCGAGGCAGGGGGCGAACGGATGCGTAATGTTGCCATTGTAAATGAATGAGTCGTAGCTCCGTCGAGTGGGTGTGGGCGACTGGGCAACTGGGCAACTGGGCGAGTGTGCGAGTGTCCGATGTGCGTGCATTGAATGTGGCTTGTTTTACACTCGAACGAATTTGAATACGTTGCTAATGGGATTTTGATGATGACAATGTAGCTGCCTCCCCTTCGTTTGACGTCGGTCGCTGTGAGTAGGTCTGTTTTCAATCGAAATGTGGCTCCCCAAATACAGACGCCGAACTTTGGACTACTGGCTAAAATGGGACTAGGCACTCTGGAGAAACTTTAACCGCACTTGGAAGCTGGCGCAACTTCAACATCCCAACTTGTTCTTGAAGAGTTTGAATGGCCGGCGCATTATGCCGCTCTAATGCGTACAAGTACATAATGGCAAGCCCACCAAGAATTCCCCGCCTCCTGGCATGCCGGCCCACCCAATTACAGGCCCGCAACATGCCAGGGTCCTTTCGACCCCGGGCCGGATGACGACAGCAACTACAACAAGACGGGCACGTCAAGCAGCGGCAACATAATGTGCCATTCACTTCCGTCCCGGCGGAGCTACCAAAGAACGTTAAAAGATTCCACGAGTCTGTGTGTGTTTGTACAGAAGGGGTACTTTTTGTGGCAGCCACACACTGGCAGTCACACTCACAACCACAGAGACAGCCGGACTACATAAGCAAACGCCTGTTCCTGTCACCGTTACAGCGTTACACCGCCGTAGTGCCTCCGCCACCCTTTGCGGTTTAGTTGCGCCATTGCCGTACACACATACTACCAGCCACACGGACACATGGAAGACCAACCACTACCACCTCCACATCCTCTCCCACCTACAGGATCCGCTCCCCGCCCCAAGAGCTGTTTACTTTTTACAGGTTGCGGCTGCGGTCGCTCACTGCGCGGTGGTTGGTTTTCCTCCTCCGGGGGTTAGCCCCGTGCACTGGCCACCCTCTCCGCCGCCGTTCCGTGCTTAGTTTGCCTTTCGCCAATGCAGCGCGGACAATTTGGGCGTGTCGTTCAAATACCGCAGACCGTGGGTGGCCCAACTCCCGATTCCTATTCCTGGTTCTAGACAGCGGACTGCTCACGCAAGCCCGAAAAGAACCCAAAACCCTGAGGATAGGACGGCAGTGCTGACACGGCTTGAGAAGGCCAGGCTTATAAATTTTTCTAAAAAAGTGATATTTTAAGAGTCTTCTCTTGAAGAGATTTAAGAAGAGATACCTTTGAAATAAATGTGGAATTTCCAGTAATACTTTCTCTGTAACAGCCAGGCTGCCATCTCTGATCGACCTCTAGACGTTTGCATAGTTCCGTGTTGACTCGGACGAGTGTCCTTTTGAGCGGACAACTTTATTGGGCTTTTTTTTGCCGCCCACCCTCGCCACATTCCTCCCCTTTGGCGGGAACTTGTGTGGCAGCCACCCCCGGTGCCGCACAATACGCCTTATTATTGGCTTCCAGTGTGCTGGCACGTTCGATTATTTGTGTCTTAATTAGCGTTTGTTGAGATTTGTTGTTGATGTAATAAACTAATAAGCACCTGTCCCACCTGCGCTGCAGCTAATTGCAATTCAATTGTCGCCATTCCAATCCATTCGATTCCACGGCAAAGTTTTGTTCAATCTTTTATTGGTTCTGTGGTGGACGGCGGACGGCGGCCGATGTATTCAGAATGATAATTGGCGGCGCGGCAACTAGCGAACGAGTTTAATAATAATAATTTGGCGGCTGATTAGCAATAGCACCTTTTGGGCCCATTCACAGACGGCGAGGCCTTGGCTAATTTGAGTACTTGTGGCTGTCAATCTGAAAAGGCTTTGGCTTTTCTCGCCTCTGCCTCAATTAGCACTTTATTTTCGGCTGCGGCCGGCAGGGTTGGGGAGGCCCAATTGAATCGAATGACACACAGCTATTGACCCCAGGACGGGGCTGTTGTGGAGCGCTATGATTGTTGTATCCATTAGGCACTTAATCGAACGGGACTGATTATCGTGCGAAAAGAAGTGCAGTGCCACTGGCCGCAAATCGTCCGTTATGGAAAGCCATATTAATTGCATTTTTATCTTAAACACCCCATTCCCATTCCCATTCCGATGAGCGGTGATCCGCAGTTTGCAATTATCCAAATGAGCTGGTCCGCTCGCTGTCACCAGATCGTTGACCAGGTCCACCAGAGCCGCTCATTTCCAGAGCAGCACGTGTTAAGTGGCGCTCTAACTGCACTTAATTCGCCTCAAATGAGATGCAATCTGCGGCGACGGGATATGAAAGCTTATGGCCACTGCACCCGGGTGACCCGTGCCACGGCGGTGGTCGATGATCAGTGTTCATCGCCGGCTTCCTTCCTTCCGCTGCTGGAATGGCCTATCCAAGACCCTATTTCAAGGCCTAATCAATGCAAATCGAGCTGCATAACTGGGAAATTAGCGCGCGACAGCAAAGTCAACAATCGGAAGTGGCCACTCATCGGTAGAAGGGCCTCTTAGGGCACAGTGGTACTGTTCCAAGGAGGTCATCATTCAATTCTAGTAGATCATAAAGACTTTCTTAGATAGATTAACCTTGCAGGCTTGACAGAAGGTGCTTTATTTGTGTGTCTACTCCTTGAATACTTCTTCACCTTGTCGACCTCCTTCTGACCACTGTGCCACTACCTATTTTCATGCCGGCCTGGCCCAAAGCAGATCGCTGATATCTCCATTTGCCTCGCCCATCACTCATCCGGTCGGGCCAGCACCAAGGGCTTCCTGGGCAGCACTTGCGCTTAACGATTTTTAATTCATATTTTAACTAACTATTAATAGCAACTACTTCCGGGCGAACTTCTCACTTCTTCATGGAGCTCACGATGAAGCTGCGCGCCCTATGGACACTGGTGTAGACACCGGGATACTTGGCGTTCGCGCAGCCCAGGCCCCAGGAGACGATGCCGCAGAGCTGCTTTTTGTAGATCACCCCGCCGCCCGAGTCACCGGAGCAACTGTCCTTGCCGGCGGACCGGGCACAGAAGGTGGACCCGGACAGGGTGTCCCGGTACTGGTAGGCCGCCTGGCAGACGTTCTTCCGAATGAGCTTGATCCGCACTGTACGCAGCTGGGTGGACGGACTGGTGTTCTTGGAGCGCGTGATTCCCCAGCCGGAGACGCGCATGTAGTCGCCAGAGCGCCACTGCACCCTGCAGAGGGATATGGTCCGGATGTTGCTGCCCGTCATGGCTCTCTGCAGCCGGATCACTCCCACGTCCATGTTGAGAGTAGAGTTTCTAAAGCTGGCCGGAATGAAGTACTTGGCCACGCCGCGGACAACGCCCCTCTGGGTGAGCTTGCTCACTCCGCCCTGGACGGTCATCCGGGAGGCCTTGTAGCCGCTAAGGCAGTGCGCCGCCGTCACCACGTACATGGAGGTCACCAGGGAGCCGCCGCAATAGAAGGAGCCATCGTAGCGCAGGTTCAGCACGTAGCCGCCCACTGCGGACTGGGTGGTGGTGGTGCCGCCCACGATGCGTGGTTGCACCTTTTGGCCGACTGCAGGTGTGGGTGCACCAAGCAGTTGCAATTGCAGGACTAGTAACAAGAGCGGTGCTCCGGAGCGAAGGAAGCACCTCATCGCGGAAAGAGATCTGAGTCGTCCGGGGACGGAGTCTGCCGTTTTATCACCGGATTTGCCAAGAGGGCTATCAGCTGTGTAAACAAGAATGTGACGCAAAGTGGGATTCGAGCGGAGACTGGGTCAAATTCGCAAAGAGTTCCCTTGGAGTGACAACATGTGGCTGCTGACCTTGCGGAGTTCACGAAAACATCGAAATATTTACACAAAATTTTGCTAAGAAATCAAAAAGTGGCATTGGACGAGGAGAGATGTTTGTTCCCAGTACGGGGGTATCTGGCATCGGCACCTTCTTCTCAGACTTGCCATGGCCGTGAGTCACAAACTGGGCGGGATTGGCTGGAGATGTTCGCGGCGAGATAAGGCGAACGGTAGTGGCCTTTGGCTTCATTTTGGCCAAAACAAAAAAGGCATTTCGAGGCATTCCGAGGCGAGGACGCCGAAACTCAGCAAACTGAAGCATGCGGGCAAGGCTACCATGCTGGGTTTGGGACTATGGTACGGAGCTGGGGCCGTTCCTCGGATGCCTGTTGGCGTCTGAACCTGGCTCGGGTTACACCTACCATTCCATGCCAGCCGGCGACCTTATCGCGCCCATTAATCTGCCAGCCCGGGCCAGAAATGTGCGGCAACAAACCAAAATGAGGCGCGGCAAGATGGTGGATGTCCCCGCCCGCTCTCCTGCCGCTCCCTCGTCCTTTTCGGCCAAAATGGCGTCGCAGCTTGGGGGCGGGGAGCCTAATGAAATGCAACCCCGCGAGGGAGCGGCAGAAACCGAGCCAAATATTATGACCGACCTGGGGCTTCGCATACGCAGGCCACGGAACCAAAGCAACAAAAAACCAAAAAGCGATAATAAAAAAAAGCGATACAAAAAACGAGAGAAAAATATGAATTTTTACGATCTGAAGTCATGCAAAAAGCGAAGCGAATCAGAACGCGGTGTGCGCATTGGACGTGAGTCGCGAATGCTTCGTGCGGGTTGATGATGGCGGCCATGCTGGCTTAGCGTTTGCCCCGCTCCTGCTCCCGCTCCAGCTCCAGCCCCAGCTGCTATCCCTGCCCCATCGAGGCAGTAACGAACCCCCGTCGTCTGGTGGCCACGTTTTGGGATCCCCAGTTTTTGCACTCCTTTTTCTTGTGCGCACTCCGAGATAAGAACTTTTTGTTATTTTTCGTTCGCCCCAAAAAGCACTTTAAGAAAATATTCATGTATAATCTTAAGATTATTCTGAACAAAAATAAGGTAAAATGTTCCTCAATTCAATACTTATTATGGAATGAAAATATATGCTCTTCGAAAGAAGAAAGTTTTTGGATTTAAGATACAAACACTCTTCTCTGAGTGTGCTTTTTGTAATACGCTTTTTCTGTATTTGGCTCGTTTTTCCGTGATGGCGAACATCAGCCGGGATCAAGGGGCAGGGCCCGACTCTGGCGGAAATGTTTGACAGACACGTAATGCCCTTGCCAGAGCAATGAATTTTTCTATTCTTTGCATACGTCCTGGGCATGGGCTCTGTGTCGCAGTATCGAACGATTTCTTGGAGGGGGCAAGGGCAGGGGCGCCTGCGAGGAGCTGCCGATGGAATTTTATAATGAACATCCAGCGGGCCTGACATTTGCGCTGCTAAAGTGCAGTTAGGGAATAATTGTTACTCTAAAAAGTAGTGCTGAAACCCATAACTAGACTCGGGTCCAAGAGACGGGTCTGCAATGGAAGCAGAGCAAAAAACGAGCCCCGTCTGAACAATGGGTTGGACCCCACACGGTGGAGCGGGCCGCGGCGGATGAAAGGGGAGCATTTGAAAACAAAGTGACGAGAAAGGTCGTAACATCCAAAGGGAGCAATCATCGCACATTGCAGAGCCGGCAGGAGGAGCCACTATGGCTCGTCTGGAATGCGAGGCACCCACCCACGCTTCTCGAACAGAGAAGGAACTGGAGACACTCACCTGGGACAATTTGAGCATTTCTGAAAGCCATTTGAAGAATAAATTGGCATCAAATATTATCCAAGTCTAGAGGGAAAAGTTTTAGAAATAAAAATGTGAGCTTAGGAAGAAGTTCCACATAGACTCAACACTAAAGCCCTTTAAGTCTTTGAGGGTTTTAGAGCAAGTCTTAAAAGGACCCCCGTTTAGAGGCTGCTGTTACAATGGCAGGCAAACGAGACCAGCATGCTCTCGAGGGGGAGGGCAGTCCAGAAAAGAGCTCCAACTGAGCCGCCCAAAAATGGAAGGAAAAGAAACAACAGCCAGCCAGAAAGAGTGCAAACTCGGCAACCATGACACCAAGCTGGGTAGATTGGATTGGGTGGCCCGGGCTATGGTGCGGGTGGGGGCTTGGGGAGCAGAGTTCGGGGCTTGGGGCCTGAAGAGCCGCCTGGCCTGGCCCGGCCCGGTCTGGTCTGGCCTGGCATATTCGTGCACAATTTCTCGTTTGACGAAACATATAATCTTCGCACATTTCTATGGAAATGAATGGATTGGTGAATGCGCCTTGCCTGATGCATTGATAGATGCATGGCTGGGATTGATGGATATGTGGCTGGTTGGATAAATTGGATTGGTATTGGTTTTCCAACGAGATGCGGAGGAGATGGCAAAAAAAAGAGCTTCAAAAATAGGTGGCATATTTCCTTGGTCGCTGCAGTTTCGCCGCTGCAGTCAGTTTCTCCCGCAGTTGCTGTGGCTGTTGCATGCAAATTGGTTTCCCCATGGCAGCCACACCCTCGAAATCTCCCGGGCGCCCCAGCTCCTCCGATGTTGTTTCTGCTGCTGCTGCGAGTGAGTTTTTGCTGTCGTGTTCTACTTACAAAGTCAGCACTGTACGAGTGCATTTCGTGTGTTTTTCTGCTTTTCTGGTGCGCCTATGCAAATATGCAATTAAGTCGGCCGGGCCGGGCCGGGCCGGGCCGGGCCCCGGCTCTTGCCATCGAGCAGCGTGTTTGCTGCCATCTAACATGGCATTCCGTCAGCAAGCCGACTCGGCATCTGAATCCGAGTCCGAATCTGAATCTGAATCTGAATCATCAATCATCAATACACTCATCGTCGCCAAGCTGCCAAAGTTGGGAGTTGCATGGCAATGGCCGTGGAATTGGAAATGGGAATGGGAGTAGGAGGGACTAGATGATGGCCACCATTCCTCCATAAGCTTAATAGTTGGGTCATGTATGAGTGATAGTTTGGAGAAAAAAGGCTAATGAATGATGTATAATTACTTAATTGCTGGCGATATCCTTTCACCTTTCATGACTCGATGATATGGGTCGTATGCTTAATGTGTCCCCACTGCGTATACTCGATATTCAGCCCGTCCCTGCCCCGCTCCGCCTTAGAAATTTGCATCAAATATGCGGGCAACAAAATGCCCGAGGGGGAAAAAAAAGAAAAAACGCAGAAATAAGACAATGCTGAATGCTTACAAAACGTTAAACCGCAAGACAGCCAGAAACCGCAGCGGAAAAAACAAAAATGCAGGCAACGAAATTCCAACGAAAGCTGCATCTTCTTCCCCTTCCGCTCCACAATCCCTAGGCACTCTTTCTTTGGGTGTAGTATCTGTTATATTTACCTGCATCTGTGTCTGTTTCTGTTTGTGTATCTGTGAGATACACAGGCGACGCCATGTTGCTGATGTTGCGTGCAGTACGCGTGCAGAAAACATGTACATAAGGGGCTAAGTAGGTACATGTGTGAGTTGCATGCTCGCTACAATGTATGTACGTACGTGTGGTGCTGAGTTACATATGTAGGCACGTAACGCATTCGCATTCACATTATGGCCGACGCGAACGCTTGTGGCTACGGTTTTTGCCTTGGCTTTTATGGTTTCTGCTGTTGTTGTTGTTGTTTTGCGTGCCAACCACCCAAGCCAAAAGCCCAAAATGCGGCCGAAAGAGCAACAGAGAGGCAAAGCAGCACACAACCCATTCGAGCCGGGCCTTTGCGGTTGAAATGCAGCCAGCCAGATGAGAAGCCTTGAGCTGGAAGCGAACTAACTGCAATGGGAAAGTACTCTGTTCGAAAAAGTGCAATCCCAGCCCCTAAACTATCTATTTGGACAACTGTTTTAAGGACTTGGGAACAACAGCTTAACTAGATGTGTTCTTTGTTGAAATTGGCAATAAAATCATTGTCCCAAACACACTACAGAAGGTAATTGCAACACAAACTACTCAAAATTTAGTTGGCTGCTGCAACTAGCCAGCTTTTTCCCATTCCCGGAACATCGAGTGGATACTACAAAGTCTCACAAATTATATGCCACATAAATGGGGCCGATTTGAGGTGCTGGGGCCTACGCAAAAGCTCCCAGAAACACCTTTATTAACAGAGCTCGCTCTCAGGCTTTTGAACTATTTCAAATTAGTTGGCATGAAATTTTCAATTAATTTTCAAATTTCAATTTATAAATCGGCCGACTGCAACAGCCGCCACTGCTGAAAGTGTGATGAGAAATTTCATAATGACTTCTTAGCCCCGCGTCGGGGGCCCGGAGCGAGTGGCTATAATAAGTGCAATTAGGCCATTGATGGTCTCGTCAGCTCAGCTCCGCTCTGCGGCGATCCCTGACGGATGTGGAGGGGCCTCGGGTGGCGCGAAGTGGGGCGGAGTTGGTGGCTCCCAACGCTCCTGCCACTGCCACTGCCACCGACTATTGCCACTGCCAACTGTCGCCGCGCCTCGTTAGCCGGGCATCGAGTTTCCAGCATCTAACATGGCCGGTCGCCATGTTTAATAAAATACGTGACTTGATTTCGATTTGGGCGCCACTCCGACGACAGAGATGCAAACAGCTTTTCCCCATTTAAGAATTTTTCAAGTTTCCGACAGCTGCCATGTCGGCGGCTATCAGAGAGGATTTGGCGACAACTTGCCTTATATCAAGTTGATTCAACATTTTTTTGTTTCCAAAGCTAATTGCTCTTTTCCACAGCTTTACATCCAACACACAAATCGTTTGTATCGCTATTCTATCAGAATAATAAGCTA